CACCCACAGCGCTGGATGTGGGCCCCTTTAAACATGAGGTAGAATCAAGAAGGAAGAAAGAGAAGGGACAGGGCAAGAAAGAAAGAGAAAAAGGGGATAGAAGGAGGAGAGGGAAAGGGAACGCAGTTAAATTTCTGAAGATAAAAGCTCCAAAGTGGGGCAGCTGTCATACTGGGTTAAATTCCTTTGGTTGAATGACCTTGGAAACATCACTTTCTGCTGATTTGTCCTTCTGTCATGCTGCACTGGAACTTAGCATCCTGAAGCTGAGAAACTAGCTTAGGGTGACCCTCCCCCTGCCCCAGCTAGGGCCTGGATGGCCATTTCCTAAGCCCCTCACTCTTCCAGTCTGGATGTGTGTGCTGGGGAGTGGGGGTGGACACCAGGGTGAGGAAGGCCAACTGCGTCTCTGGTTCCTCTGAGCCAGCCCTGTGGTTCCTGAGCTTCCTCCCTGACCCAGCTTCTCTCTGGAGAGACTCTGAGTTCAGTCACACCTGATAGTTAGGACCACAGCCTAGCCCACAAGTCTGGACTCCTTGGAGGGGATCACTTAGGACTAATGCTCTTCTAAACACCTTGGAATAAAACCATTTTCATTCATTCATTATACAGCTGAGTACCTCTTTTATTTATTTATTTTTTTTGAGACAGAGTCTCACTTTGTTGCCTCTAGTAGAGTGCCCTGGCCTAATAGCTCACAGCAACCTCTGACTCCTGGGCTCAAGCAATTCTCTTTCCTCAGCCTCCCAAGTAGCTGGGACTACAGGCACCTGCCAATATGCCTGGCTATTTTTAGAGATGGGGGTCTCACTCTAACTCAAGCTGGTCTCAAACTCATGAGCTCAGGCTATAGCCTACCTCAGTCTCCCAAAGTGCTGGGATTATAGGTGTGAGCCACCACGCCCGGCCCCAGTGCCTCTTGAATGCCATGCACCATTCTAGACTTTGAGAGAGCATCAGATCTACACTAATACAGAGTAGAATCTAGGCTCTGCTACTAACCATGGGAACTTTGCCAAGTTACGTAAATTTTCAGATCCTTACTTGTCTAATCTGCAAAGTGGGCATAAAAAACCCTACTTTGTGGGGTCGTTAGGAGGAGAAGATATAATAGATGAAAAATACCAGTATTTACTCTGGTAGAATTTACTCTCCATAAATGGTAGCTTTTATTATTAATTACATGGGTAAGGTTATTTCTTCACCTCTTAGGCATTGATCATTTTCCCCATGCCTGTTTTGGGGAGAAGATTTGGGAATAGGTGGGAGGGGGTCGCAGGAGACTCCAAAAGCTTTGCCCCTAACTGGTATCTGAAGGACAAACCACAGTTGGGAGAGCATCCAACCTCCTAGATTCAGTGCAGGGTTTGAGGGAT